AAGCCAACTGCCCATGGTCGGTCTGGATCCAGCCTCTGTTCTCCAGGACCACCTTTGGATCCTGCCTGTTAATCAGGCATCCATTGCAGTCTCAGGGTTGTTGCATTCAGCTGTGTTGCTAAAACAGCATTATTTTGGCTATTTTATCAGCAATAAGTCAGACTTTGTGATGTCCCTCCCTGTTTTAGCTATTGTCTAGGTTACACACAAATTCTTCACTCTGGCCAGGAAGGAAGATGTCCTGGTCCGCTTCAGCTCTCTCCCATACTGTTGTTATTTAATATCTGCATGTGCAAACTGCATTCTTGGCCTTTGGTGAGAGTTACAAATTTGACTGGAGGAGGTTCTTGAGCAACCTGTCCAGCTGCATGGGCCTTCCAACCTCAGTGGCTCCCTGAGTTTCTCCTCTGTCGTGGGAAAGAGAAGACAATGATCACACCTCAAATAAAATTTCATATTCCTACATCCTAGAGTTTTCAAGCAGGGAAATCAGTGTAAACCATGCTTATTGTACCCAGGAAAAGGCACATTCTGCTGTGGGAAGACAAGCTGAGCCTCAGACCTTGGATTTTCTTTTGCAATGCCCTTCCCAGTGCTTAATCTTGGCTCTGTTCAGTTTTCTTTCTGTTCTCTCTCTTTGCTCCTAATCCTTGTCCATGCTTATAAGCCCCTAATATTTATATGGCATTATCTGTGTTAGAGATTACTGCTGACAAGTAATCTCTTCCCTCTTCTGAATGAAGAATTACAGCCATTGCTGAAGATCAGAAAGTGAAATTAGATCCCCGAAAGTATGTGACAACTTCAATAAACCCTAATATCAAATTCCCTGAATATTGGGGATCTTCTTTCAGGCTTTTAGGTTTGAACTGTAGTACAGCTTCAGGACACCTGACCACACTCAGCAACATTTTTTTTTTTTGTTGTAGGGAAAGATGTGATAGTAGTTGAAGAGGAAAAAAAAATTAAAAATTAACTATGACTATTCTCCCAGTTTTTTAATTTCTTGCAATCTTTTGAGAAGTAGTTAAATATAAACAGCATCAGTTTTATTGTTATAAACTGATTCATAATATTAAAGATAAAATATAAATGTATGATTTTATATATCAATAAGCATATACTAATGGAGTTGCTGTCTGTTCCAGTTTGGCACCCAAAAATCTGATTTTTTAATTTTATTTTTTTTTTAACTTTATTTCTTAGAATAGAATCAGCAAAATTCTTGAGTTTTGAAAAAAACAGCTTTGGTATTTCTACAGTGCTTGGTCAGTAATAGGTATGCATGGTTTGGAGCACCCTGGTCTAGTGGAAGGTGTCCCTGCCCATGGCAGGAGGCTTGAAATGGGATAAACCTTAAAGTCTCTTCCCACTCTGACCTTTCCAGAATTCTATTATTTTTAAACTTTTTAATTACAATATTTAAAAAAAAAAATCCATTGCACTTTCAGAACTCTTACTTTGCACCCAAATGTAACTACATTTACAGAAGGGCCAATTTTTATTGCTTTAAAAAATTTATTTATTTATTCCATCCATACTTGCAGTCTCTTGAGGCAGTTGTGTAATTTGGTCTAACCTAAACCAGCACTCCAGTTCATCTTTCTAATGTGGTTTCTATTCATTGAGCAGTGACATCATGGTCCTTCCATCTCTTTTTTTTGTTGTTGTTGTTTTTAATAAAATGGTGCACAAAGTAACTCTTGGTGCCATGGAAAAGAAACCAGTCCCCATAAATAACTTTCCATTAGGGCAAATAAAGTGCAGTGAATAAACACATACGGTGGAACATGGCAACATATCACAAAAAAGAAACGTGTGTGGGAAAAACACATTTCTGCTTCAAGGAAAAGTACATGGATTTCTTCAGAGAGGGGTTTTGTGGCATAAATGAAAAGAAAATATATAATATATAGGTTGTGAGTTAAAGAATCTGTTACTCACAGTAGCAAATATTTAGATTGAAACTCTGAATTTCAGGATATTGAATTTTTATTACATATGAACTTAGTTTAATATTTAACCCATCTTTTTAACTAAACATCTAGACCCAGTATGCAAAAAGGGAAAGTTTTCAAGGCTTACTCTTTGTAAAGCCTTCATAAAGTTTTAAAATTGACTATTCAGTGTGTTGGAAAGCCTCAAAAATCTGAATAAATAAAAGAAATTTGAAAACAAGTTGCCATACTAAAATTAGATATCTAAGTCCTCACTGTTTGTTCTGAACTTTCAGTTCAGAAACAGTGAACTGCTTAGTGTTTAAATATATATGAGTTATGCATAAAAGTAAAATATTTTCCATGGTTTTTTTAAATATAAGGGGACAGTACCTTTTGGAATCTTTTGAAAGTGTTAATATTTGTGAGCTTTGATGATAATTCTTTTTCTTGAAAGTTTCACATGTGCAAGAGTTCATTACAACAAGTCAGTAATAATAATAAAATGCTTCTCCCATTCTATTTAAAATAGAATGTTGTGGCATTTTTCTTGTGTGACTGGTGTGTTTTGTAACTAAGATTGAGAAAAATTGTGTGTCCTTCTCAAAAATGAAATCCCATTTCTCTGCTGTGGTAACTCTCTAGGTGGTTTTATAGAATCATGGAGTAGTTTGGGTCAGAAAGGACTTTAAAGATAATTTCATTCCACCCCCTGCCATGAGCAAGGACAACTTCCCCGATCCCAGGTTGCTCCAAGCCCTGTCCAGCCTGGCCTTGGACACTTCCAGGGATCCAGGAGCAGCCACAGCTGCTCTGGGCAGCCTGTGTAGTGCTTCACCAACTTATGATAAAAAATATAAAAATTTAAAACGTTCTTTTTTATAGCTACTCTTTCAAGCCTGTGTCTGCTCCTGCTCCAGCCTTGTTTCTCCATAACCATCACGGTGATGTAGAAGTTCTGCAAGCTCTTGATGTTTTAAATGACTGAGATCTGGGCAAGTACTGGATGGAGAGATACCTCTGGAAAGGGGCAGAAAAGAAGAATTAATGTGAGTCTGGAGGAGCAAAAATGTGCTGCAGAAAACGTAAACACAAAAAATGCACTAACTAGACATTGTCTTTTCCCAGCATGCTTCTGGGAAATGCACAAGAACAGGTTTAGATGACTTTGTGTTGTTATTAGTTTATTTTCAGGTCATTTATTTAAGTGTCATAAAGAACATTAGCTGGTGGTTAGGGACTCCAATATCCATTATATCATTCCAATCATGTGGACAAGTTTATACTACACATGATTTACAACGGTCTTTCCGCCGTAGAAATTGTTCTCCTCAGGTACAAGGTTTTATTCGTGGTTGTATTTAGCAAAATCCAAGTGGCTGAGCACAGAGACGTCTTCCAATCAAAGTCCAAAAATTAATGCCTTTCCACGAACACCATGGATTGCAGCAAGAGCTGTTTATGGCTCTCTGCCTACATCTTTTATCATGTCTCCACTGTTGTTAGTAAAATATACAGAACTACTTTATGCCAAAACAATGGAAGTTAATGCAGATAACTTGTTCCAAAGTTAACCATCAAATAAATCTCTCTCTCTTTTTTTTTTCTTTCAAACTGTTAAGTGAAATGGTGTTCTAAAACTTTTAAAAATTGTCAAGATGATGAATACTGTGTGTGTAATACAAGTAAATACCATGGAATTGATTGCACACACATGTCTTAAATAAAAGATATTAAAGAGTATATTCCAGAGAGAAATCGGTGGAGTTTTATCTAATATTATTAGGAATTCTGCAATGACAGATCAGATTTATAAGGGTTGAAAACTGAGGAGGAAACCTGTTCAGAAACAGAAATGGTGCAGTGAGTGGATGGTTGGCCAGGAGATTAAAGACAGGCAGGGGGATAGAGCCTGCCTAGGTAGCCTGACCTCTCACACCTCAAGCAATTTGTCTTAACAGCAGTAATTTTTCAAAATATCTTAGTTAAATTTGGGTTGGTAAATCAATCCTTTCAATGCAGTCACAACTTGGTAGTTTAGGAAAAACCCCTTAACCTGTTTCTGCTTCAGCTTTTCCCATGTGTAAATATTTAAAAGTACATCCTGACAGGGCTGTGTCTGTGCTTCAGAGGAGCCACCAGCAGCCAGTGTTAGGTCTGTGACCAAAGGCTGAGGGAATTGGGATTGTGCAGCCTGGAGAAGGCTCCAGGGAGACCTCAGAGTCTCTTCCAGTGCCTAAAGGGCCTGCAGGAGAGCTGGACAGGACTTTGAACAAGGGATGGAGGGACAGGACAAGGGGGAATGGCTTCAGCTGGCAGAGAGCAGTTACATGGGGTATAGGAAGGAATTGTTCCCTGTGAGGGTGGTGAGGTCCTGGCAGAGCTTGCCCAGAGAAGCTGTGGCTCCCCCATCCCACGGTCCAAGGCCAGGTTGGACGAGCTTGGAGCAACCTGGGATAGTGGAAGGTGTCCCTGACCATGGCAGGGGTCTTGGAATGAGATGGTTTTCCAGGTCCCCTTCCAACCCAAACCATTCTTTGATTGTAGGATTCTGTGTATGGGATTCAGCCATACCAAATTTCTACTTCTAAACTCAGAGAATCTGTTGCTGTTCTATTTGAGAAAAGGTGGACTCTCACCCAGCTCCATCCTCCTTTCAGATAGTTGTAAAGAACAAGAGGGCCTCTACAACTAGGATAAAGGATTGCTACCAATCTTAGAAGTAATGCTGGCAAAAATTCTGAGACTTTCCTGGCAGAGTTGCCCTCCTTCTTCCAGAGGTGTTTGCATTATTTTATAAATAATAATGCAGGTAAATGGTTTTATTCTCCCTGTTGATGCATGTGTCATTAGGGAATGCATGGGTTTTTTTCACAGGTGCCATATTCACTAAAATAAAGCATATCTTCCTGAATTCATGTTGTTATTTAGATGGATGTAAAATATAAACCATATTTTACCTTCTAATGTGCTATTACTTAATTAGTTGTCAGGTGAAACTTTAATCCAGCATAAACACAATACAGATTTTTTTGTTTGTTTTTTTGTTCTTTTTCCTCCCAG